AACCTCACTATCATCAGGTCCACCCTTCCCTAGCAGTCTCCTCCCCCCCTCACCTTCACTCTCTCAACCTCCCTAGAAATACAGCTCAAATCATGGATAACAGTCTCATAGTAGGTATCAGTATCTGTCTCACGAAATAACAGCTTCCAGACTAAAGGGGAGGGGGAGAGGGAGACATCAGCAAAACCCCTCCTTGGGTTGTGAGGCCTCTGTAGAATGTCATTCTGCAAACTCCAATTCCAAAAGATTCCCCAAGGGAAGAGTAAGGATGTAGAGTACTCACGGCAGATCATGGCTAAGGAGTTTGCTGGAAATCCACAGGCTATCAATTTCCTAAAACAGTGTGGGAGAAAGCTTTGTACATTAGCTGCCAGGTAAACCATTAGCAGCTTGACAGACAGGAAAAGTTCTACGAGGAGGAAGCCCTTCCACTAAATATTTTCCACTCCATTTCCGCCAACTTCTCTCCCGAGCACTATATCCTGCTCCTCACAATGACATTGGCTCAACTTGGTTAGTATTTCTCTTTCATGGATATGTTGCTGTTTCCCCTTTTAAATTAGAACAGTAAGCTCTTCTATTTCCTGTTATCTTTGTTCTGTCCTTACTTCTGTATCTTTCTTATTGTACCCTGCACACTCTGTGCCTTATAAGGATTTTTAACTCAACAACTTGCATTGATCCCAGCGTTTCCAAACTAACTCTTAAGATCATCTTGGCAAAGGGGTGCCAAGGCTGGGCTAACCAGGAAAGTCACCCAGAATTTTTTTAAAAAGTAATAAAAAGTTGAAATTCAGCTGGGTCCACCCACACACATACCCAGGGAGTTGCCCAAGACTCACCACTGTTTGCTGGTGCTGTTGAAACTTAAGGCTGACATTCTGGATCCAAAAAAAGGAGCCGATCTTTAGCTCCGCCTGCAGCTTCCGCTGACACCACTTGGTGGCCAACCGGACCACAAACCACCTGCAGAAAAATCCTTGTGAGTTCACAGGACCCTCTCCCAATTTGGGCTTTCCTCATTCCTTGCTGGTCCTCGAAGGCCTTGCAAAAAGGTCATGTCCTAAAGCTGGATCTTCTGGGCAACTCTCCAGTCTCCCAAAACAGCATTCTGTCACTTACACTCAGCCACAAAGATCAAGACCCTAATTCTGTAGTGTCCCCTTCACCCAGATGAAATCAGACAAACTACAGTCCACCTCCTAAGTTGGGGACAAAGAAAGCAATCCTTCCAACCCTTAGGAACCCCAGATGAAGAAAGAAGAGGCCCCAATAGGATTCGAAGTACAGGCAGCTGTGTCAGATGTGCCATCAAATACTCCCCCACACAGTCCATGTCTCCGCCCTCTAGACAGGTGTCAGAGAGAAGGCGGTGGGGTCACACCCGGCCGGCTCAAATGCCATTCTCTCCTGGGCAGCCAGACCTGTTCCGGCTCCTAGGGCGAGGCTGCAGGTGCCCTCTGCACTCGGTGAAGGGTACACTCAGGGGCGTGTGGAGGGAGAGAGAGACCACCAAGCCGGGGCCCCTCTACACACACACACACACACACACACACACACACACACACACACACACACAAGCTATTCAGCTTCGAGCCTCAGCATCTCCTCAGGCCTCGCCCGCTCCCTCAGTCTCCCCTACTCCCAGGTCCTCGGCGCCAGCTCGGGTCTTACGCCCCCGCTCAAGCCCTCCCCTCGCCGCGCGACCCCTCCGCGGCCCTCCTCGGGCCCTCCCCCTCCGCCGCCTGCACACCGTCCCCCCCAGCCCCCTTCCCCTCCCGCGCGCCCCCCTTCCTCAGTCTCTTTTCCTTCCCCAGCCCCCGCCCGCTATAGCCGGGATCCCCTCACCGGCCTAAGAAGAGGGCGCAGAGCGCAACCAACAGCAAGGCCAACAGCGCGGAGAACAGGGGCATTCCGGCCCCGGCCCGGCCTGGCTCTGGCCCCCGCCCTGCCGGGCCCCCCCTCCCCACGCCGGCTCCGGTCTGCGCCGCCGCGGGCCGACCAGCCGCACGCGCAGGAACAACACTGGACAAGGAAGCGTTGGAGCGCGTGCACCCCGCCCCCCACAGCCCGCCAGCCAGCCCGCTGTCTCCCTGCCCCACTTCTCCCCGTGACAGCGATCTGGCAGGGCCGACCCGCTGCCTGCGCGAAGTACGGGCGTGGCTCCGGAGGAGGGAGGGCGGACCTCGCGCCGACTGACACAGAGGCCCCGCCCGTGGACCCACCCTTCCGCGCCCGGAAATGCGGGCTTGCAGGAGACCCGAGTCTGAGCCGTACCCTGGCTGGCAACAGACTTCGCTGTCTCATTTCGGCCCGGGAGTTCCACTTTCAAAGCACTTTCCGGAGGCATAGAGTCGGCTTGGCCACTGAAGGCCCGGGCTGAGGGCGCTGCGTAAGTTATACCCCTGGGTCCTACGAAGTAGCTGTCATATCTTACTCAAGAACCTTATCTTAAAATCCTTAAGGAGGAAACCAAGAACTAAAAGACATCAGTTATGGGGTGCCTGGGTGGCTCAGTTGGTTAAGCATCCAGCTTCAGCTCAGGTCATGATCTCACCCTCGATGGGTTCGAGCCCTACGCTGGGAGCTGTGATGACAGCTGGGAGCCTGGAGCCTGCTTCCTATTCTGTGTCTCCCTCTCTCTCTGCCCCTCCCCCACTCACACTCTGTCTCTCAAAAGTGAATATTAAATTTTTTTTTAATAAAAGACATCAGTTAAAATTCCCACCTCATTCTATCCAACAAGGAATGAGTTTTTCATTCATTTTATTATTTGAATACTGTTCTAGTCACTTACTACATATTGACCTGTGTGAGCTTCATTGGACAAGTTTTCAGTGTCTTCTCTGTACAACACGATCTGGGCACTGGGCTGGGGGAATATGACAGAAATAGAGAATATTGTTCTTGCCCCTGAGGAACAAATACTTTATCTGGGAAGCAAACATAATTGCAAGAAATAATTCAGGACCAACTTTATTTTGCCTGTTTCCTTCTCTGTGAAATGAGGAAATTGGACAACATTCCCTTCCAACTCTAATACAGTGATGCTAATACAATAAATACAAACTAAAGAAATTCTAGGGGCGCCTGGGTGGCGCAGTCGGTTAAGCGTCCGACTTCAGCCAGGTCACGATCTCGCGGTCAGGGAGTTCGAGCCCCGCGCCAGGCTCTGGGCTGATGGCTCAGAGCCTGGAGCCTGTTTCCGATTCTGTCTCCCTCTCTCTCTGCCCCTCCCCCGTTCATGCTCTGTCTCTCGCTGTCCCAAAAATAAATAAACGTTGAAAAAAAAAATTAAAAAAAAAAAAAGAAATTCTGAGGACTTCAAAATAAGTACTCATATCCCTTTGCTCTCTCATCCTAATCTCCATAAATACCCTTCAAGATTTTACTTGGACACTTTTCCACTGTTTCAGATAAAGCACCATTTCCAACTTTCACATAGAATCGCCGATAGTTTTTACCCCTCCAACTGGTTTCTTAGTCCTCTTGCCTGTCACATCTCTGCAAAGACTCCATTTGTTTCAAATCCATATTTCTCTCTCAAGCTCTACCGCTCCGCCATCTTCCTTGTAATCTGCTTCCCAGCACGGTAGATTCTGTTAACCCTAAGGGAAGGCCCAATGACTCAGTGAAAACACTGTTCAAGCCATGTAGGGGTTCCTTGCAACAAACCTCCCTACTCTCATTCATCTTGTCCAATCTGTTCCCTTTATTCAGCGGATTCCTAGCATTTCCTTTCTTTTTTCTTCCCAGACTGTCACCATGGAGAGATCTCAAATGATCAATGCAACTGAAGTGGGAAAATGGGGGAGAAGATGGAGATAGAGCCCAACTAGTTCATGGTCTCAACTTACTGAAACAAGTCCTTGTAAAAAACACCAAGCTTTTTAATGTCATGGGCACATACCAGGTATCCCCAAATGTTTAATGTTGAGTCCCCAAAGCAAAGGAGGAAAAAAAAAATCGGTATTTCTTTCTTTTTAAAACATGGGACTCAAGGGGCGCCTGGGTGGCTCAGTCGGTTAAGCGGCCGACTTAGGCTCAGGTCATGATCTCACGGTCCATGAGTTCGAGCCCCATGTTGGGCTCTGTGCTGACAGCTCAGAGCCTAGAGCCTGTTTCAGATTCTGTGTCTCCCTCTCTCTGACCCTCCCCTGTTCATGCTCTGTCTCTGTCTCAAAAATAAATAAACGTTAAAAAACAAACAAACATGGGACTCAAACTCACCACCACGAGATCAAGTCACACCCTCCCTCCATGTACTGAGCCAGTTACCCCCCAAAAAATGTTTCTAAAAATAAAAAGACCTGCTAGTCACTGAAATTCCAGCAGATGGCAGACACTTCTGTTCACCACAACCATGCTTGAAAGACCTAGGAGCAAACTTTCTAGAATTGACCCAGAAACAAAAAGGAAGAAATGAGGTAAGCAGAGAACGAAAGTTTTCTACCCCCCATTCAGAGAAAGATATCCCTACATTTGTCCAAAACAAAGCAGTTATCATCCAAGAGTGAAACACAAGTGTAACACAGTAAAAAAAAAAAAAAAAAAAAAAAAACCACAGCTGGATTCCTATCCTTAAATTATTAGCTTTAAGAATTCACACAGTTGGGGCGCCTGGGTGGCTCAGTCGGTTAAGGGTCCAACTCTTGATTTCGGCTCAGGTCATGATCTCACGGTTCCTGAGTTCAAGCCCTGCATCAGGCTCTGCGCTGACAGCACAGAGCCTGCTTGTTATTCCCCCCCCCCGCCCCCACTCTCTGCCCCTACCCTGCTTGCACTCTCTCTCTCTCTCAAAATAAACTTAAAAAAAAAAAATTCACACAGTTACTAAACCTTTATGTTCTGCATTGGTAAAACTGTTAAGATCTACCCTACAATACCTCTGTGAAAATTAAATGAGGTAAGAACTATAGTACGGTATCTAGTTTTAGCAGTGAATAAATATTGGTTCCTTCTTACTACCCTTAACCCTTTCTCTCAACTGCAGTAACAAATTCAGAGTAAAACATTTTATTGGCTATTTATTAAGCTGTATTCCTTGAGGGTCTTTAGCCATAATTAGTCAAAAATCTAGTAAAACTGAGGTGCTCGGAAAGTGGAAACAGAGAAAAAGTTTGGATGCAAATAAGGCTCTTAAAAGGGCCCACACCAAAGGTTTCCAGCATCTCAAGAGTAGTAGCGGTGACTCTCATAAGACTCAAGGATCAATCAGATTATGAAATAGCACACCTAATAAATGACAACATGATGACTAATAATGAAATTCTTTATCATTCTGGAGAAAGTAGGAGAAAAGTCACACATCAATAATCCATGATGCCAAGCTTCTGAGGAGTAAAAATTTCCCAACTAAGAGAGGTATCTCCCTCAGTTTCTGTTTTATCGATACGAACAAAAAGTATGTGCTCCTTCACCAGCAAGTCCTGTACTCAAAAAGAACTGACCCAAAGTCTGGGAGAACAACCAATTCAAGTGTGAAGGGCTGAAGCTTCCAGCCACAGCCACTGTATTCTGTCATGCATCTTCATCTCAGTGGTGACAAGGCCACTGCCCGGGGAACCTGTGGCAGGGATCCCAAGGTGGAGCAGCAGCAGCAAATGTCATGAACACTGTGCAGTGGCACTGGCTCACAGCTTCCAGACTCACAGCTCTGCGTGATGAGCTTCTGTCTTTAACAACTCAGTGGGCTTCATGAAGATGCCTTCCATGGTTTTCCAGTAGTTGTTCTGGCTAGGCTGGGCCATGCCATGTACCTCTTTTTGCCCACTAATGGGTCGACCGTATTGTTCTCCGGTGACAGACAGCAGAACTTCAGTGGAAGAATGCTTGAACCGCACCTCACCATCCCTCACCCAGTAGGGCCCATTACAGAGCACTGTCCAGTCATCCAGATAATCGCCTTCACCCTCCTCACCAAAAGCGCTCACTTCCTGAAAGACACAAAGGGTTGCAATATTAGCATGACTGACACATAGGCTCGGAAAGGAGACAGAGAGGGAATGGGAAGAAAACTAAGGCTACCCAAGGTGAAAAATAAGAGGCTTTCCAGGGTTATTTAAAAATAAAAAGACGTGGGGCGCCTGGGTGGCTCAGTCAGTTGAGCGTCCGACTTCGGCTCAGGTCATGATCTTGCGGTGTGTGAGTTCGAGCCCCACGTTGGGCTCTGTGCTGACAGCTCAGAGCCTGGAGCCTGCTTCGGATTCTGTGTCTCCCTCTCTCTCTGCCCCTCCCCTGCTCATGCTCTGTCTCTCTCTGTCTCAAAAATAAATAAAAACATTAAAATAAATAAATAAATAAAAAGACACAAAGGACATGAAATCAGTTGCCCTAGGATTATGTTCCAAACACTTACTTTACAAGAAATCCAATGCTTGCCTTATGTTTTCTATTACAGTCTTACTCTTGTTCTTTGACTTGAAGTATTCCTGCCCCACTCCCTTAACTACATTTTAAGTGACCTGGTAAGCAACACAAGTTACAAAGGCCGATGGGCTCTGGAGACTGGCAGACCTTGAACCCCAGCTCCATTCCTTCCTGTGTAACTCCTCTGAGCCTTCATTTTCTCATCTAAAAAATGATGACAGTATCACATTATAGAATAATTGTAAGAACTAAATGAAATAATAGAGTAAGCGATAGCAGTCTCTCTTCCACTTCTCTCCTAATCCCATTCCCCTTAAAGCCAAATATTCAGAATTTCTACTGCAATAGAAAAGTTACAGGGGCATCTGGGCAGCTCAGTTGGTTAAGCATGTCCTTTTTTTTCTTTAATTGTTTAAAAAAAAAGTGTTAATGTTTATTTATGTCTGAGAGCGAGAGAGAGCACAAGCAGGGGAGGAGCAGGGACACAGAGACGAAGACACAGACTCCAAACCAGGGTCCAGGCTCTGAGCTGTCAGCATAGAGCCTAATGCAGGGCTTGAACTCACGAACTGCAAGATCATGACCTGAACCGAAGACAGATGCTCAAGTGACTGAGCCAACCAGGTGCCCCTAATTTTTTTAATGTTTAGTCATTTTTTGAGAAAGAGAGAAAGAGAAAGCGTGAGTGTGGGAGAGGGAGAGAAAAAGGGAGACAAAGAATCTGAAGCAGGCTACAGGCTCTGAGCTGTCAGCACAGAACCCGATGCGGGGCTCGAACTCACAAACCACAAGATCATGACCTGCATCAGGCTATGTGCTGACAGCTAGCTCAGGGCCTGGAGCCTGCTTTGGATTCTTTGCCTCTTTCTCTCTCTGTCCCTCCCCCTTTCGCGCGCTTTCTCTCAAAATAATATTTCTTTAAAAATAAATAAAAATAAAAGATTAAATAAATAAATAAACAAACAAATAAAACAGTCATTTGGAAACAGAGTCTGTAAGACTAAAGGCAAAAGGAACTACACATAATTAACAATTCTACTATACTTGCATATGGAACTGAACAAGTAATAACTAACACTGGTGGGAGCCAGATTATCTGTTAGTGTGGAAATTTACAAATAAGTAAAGAGAAGAGGCTAAAATGACTTAAGTGGTAATGGATTATATATAGTTGGAGATGTCAGTAGGAACTCATGTTTAACATAATACAGATACAGGTCCTTACACATATAAACATTTAGTAATACATGGATACATATACACGTTTCTTTGTCAGGTGAGAAGGCCTAAAAGATCCAACACACCCCAGTAGCAACAAACTCATGTAAGAGCTAAGATCATGGTTTCTAATATCATCCTCCGATAAAAGGAAACAGACCTTCTTGGAGGAATAGCTGATTCTAAGGACTGGGGCAAGAAATATACAAGATGAAAAAACTAAAAAGAAATATACAAGATGAGCCTAGAATATCTGAGTGCCAGAAAGAAAGGACAGTTTAAAACACACACACACACACACACACACACACACACACACACACACACACA